CGTCGTCGGTGTCTTGTATATATATATATATATATATATATATACTGGTTTGCACAATGGGATGGTGTAATTTTTGCCCATTCTTCTTGGCAAAATTGCCCCAATTCTGAAAAGTTCTTTGGAGATCATTGATGGACTGCAATCTTCAAGTCTTGCTATCAATTTTCCATTGGATTCAAGTCAGTACTTTGACAGGGCCAATCCAGGACATTCACTTTCTTCTTTTGAAATCACTCGTATGTGGCTTTGGCCTTGTGTTTCGGGTCATTGTCCTGCTTAAATGTGAATTTTTGACCCAGTTTTAGATTCTTGGCTGACTCAAGCAGGTTTTCCTCTAGGATTTGCCTATACTTTCCACCTGCCATCTTCTCAATCCCTCCTGATGAGATGCAGCCCCCTAACATGATGCTGCTACCACCATGCTTGACAGTTGGGGTGGTGTTGACTGGGTGATGTGCTGTGTTCGGCTTGCTCCAGATGTAACACTTTGAATTTAGACCAAAAAGCAAAATTTTTGTCTCGTCTGACTAGTAAACCTTCTGCCATATGTATATATTATCAGTTACATACTTTGTTGAAAATTCCATTCGAGATTTAAGGCCAGCTTTGTGTAGGGACTGGGATATTGATTCCCATCTCAGTCACTGAGATAATCCATAATCTGTTTCCTGCTTGCCTGGCTGCTTAGTTTGGAAGGGTGGCCTGATGTGAGTAATAACAAGATGGTATGAAGCACATTCCACTTCTTAATGATAGACTTCACTGTACTCAAAGGGGTAATCAGCAACTTTGAAATTTTCTTATAACCTTCTCCTGATCTGTGCTTCTCTACCACTTTATCCCTGACTTGTTTAGAAAGCTCCTTGGTCTTCATGGTTGGTTTCTTGTATCACCATGTGAATTTTGGCTTGAAAAGATGCATTTACTTTGAAGTCAATGTGAACCACTTTGATTACACACAAAGACCATTACACTAATTTTGTGACCTTTCAAACTAATCTTTTGCATCTGAACTGATTTAAGATTTCTGTAGCAAAGGGGTTGAATACATATGCAATTAAGAATATTCTGATTTTCTTTGAAAATCTAACTTACACACAGAATATCAGCATTTTTTTTAGCTTTCTCAGTTTGGAGTTGATTGTGTAAATTCTAAATATAGAATCCCATTTGAAAGTTTTATGATTGCAAGCTCAGACAGCAACAAAATGTGGAAACTTTGCAAGGGATGAATACTTTTGCAAAGCATTGTACAAAGACCCTCTGCTTTGTTCCATCCAGCCATTCTTCTATCCAATTAGCTAACTTATCTCCTCACAACTAGAGATATATTTCTTACAAACCTTTTACGTGGCACCTTGTCTTATGCTTTCTGAAAATCCAGATACATCAAATCTACACCCTTACTTACCCTCATCTACATAAGCAGTAACCTTTTCAAATAATGTCAAAAGATTTGTAAGGCAAGATTTTTCATTAGTGAAACCATGTTGACTATCCAATAAAATTCTAAACTTTAAGTTATTTTGCAAAGCATTAGATTTTACAAAACTTTCCCACAACTGATGTAAGACTAATAAGCCTATAATTACTGGTACAAATTTTAACACCTCCCTTGAAAATAGGAGTAACATTAGCTAACTTTCAATCATCTGGCACCTGCCCTGCCCACCATTTAAGGACTTAGTAGCTCACATGTCCAATCCTTAACCTTTTTCAAAACCCTTGGGGAAATATCTGGCCCAGGAGACTTACTGTCCTTTGAACTTCCCCATGTTTTTATAACAAGCTCAGATTTAATGTGATCATTTTGTTTCCATCAATCAACTGTTCAAGATGAGGAATAGAACTTAAATATTTATCAGTAAAAACTGAAGAAAAAGTAGAATTTAATAACCCAGCTATCTCATAATAATGAGATATGAGTCTTTCTTTATCATCCCTCAAAGATCCTCAATTTCACCAGTATCACCTGGTGATGTGTAACAAGTTCCCACTAAGAGCGTTTTCCCTTTATATCTATTAATAGAAACCCAAATGGAATCAATATCCTTGGTATTATCTTTGATATCCTCAACTTCAACAGGATGTAACTCTCATTTTAAATAGAAGCCACTCAACCCCCTTTCTTTAGTACTCTATCCCTATTAAATAATAAAGAAATTTGGCCTCAAAATCATCTACATTTAACCATATTTCAGTTATTCACATTATATCAAAATCCTTCATTCTCGCCACTGCTCTAAAGTCATCCATTTTATTTCTTATACTTTTATACTCATTTCCTGTGCCAAACTTTTTCTATATCATATCCTCTTTTTTTTTGCATTTAGTTTACCCTGGCCCTCTAGTCCTAGTTTAAAACCTCACTTACAGCTGAGTTAATAGTCCTTACAAACAAACCAGCCCCTACCTTATTTTAAAGTAAACCATCCATTTCAAAAAGCTCCTTTCTTCCATGAACTCTCAGCATGGGCTTGATCCCTGGGACCAACCTCATAACCATTTTGTGCTTGTTATAGCTTTCATGCTATAACTTAAATTAGTAAGTGAATTTTAATGAAATTTGACACATTATCAGTAAACATTACAATGCTTTCATATGCAAAATAGCATGCAAAATAATTTTAATATTAAGATTAAAAATACTTTATTGCTTTCTCATGTAAAATCTTTATAATGTCCAGATAATTATCAAACATTTCTTAAGAAAAAACTTTATATTTTATCTGTTATTTTCAATAATGAGTCTGTATGGGATCAGTAGATTTGACTGATGTCGTAACCATCATAAAAATTAAGAAATAAATATAAATTATGCCTCTTTCATTCTAGAATGAACACAAATTATAACACAAAAACGAATGTTTAGATGAAATAGCTTAAATCTCATATCATTATACATTTATATATATTTATTATTTTTATTATAGTGACCTTTCAGCCATGCCTGGCTAACAGTACAGAAGTTACAATGACATGGCACATGTGCACTCATGTTACCATATCCAATTACAAACTGACATTTGGTCTGTACAAAGTAACTTGTTTTGCTGTGTTTTAGTAGACTAGTATTTTGTAAAATATAGCCTCATTTTCTATGTATATAGATTATTGCTATTTTGAAATAAGTTCTTAAACTGGTTTTTCTTAAAACATAGAACAGTAAATAAAGAAGTGAAGCAAGCAATTATTTCTTCTAGTTATGACCTTTGTACTTGGGATCGGTTGCTGCTTGACATAGGTTGCTAAGCCTTTAAAAATTTTGCATGTCTAGGATATGAAACAAAATGATTTTTTAAAGTTTTATATATATGTACATTTGAATAACTAAAAAATCATAAATTACTCCATCAATACCAGAGAATTCCACTATAATTTATCAAGCTTAGTAACTAAGTATTTTAGTCTAAACAAATATGAAATTTCGAGCAGACAAAAGACACACCCTACCTCCTTGAAATATTGGTTCAAAAGAAAGAAATGGCTGAGAAAGCCACTAGGGGACATTCTGAGCTTCCGATTGGTTGTTCATGTCAAATGTAGAAGTGTATATAAGGGAGCAAAAATGGTAAGAGG